TCTTTTGTCGTCTAGAGAGCTCTAGCTTTCATTACCCTAACTATCCCTGTTGCTGAAATATACCTCAACTGCATCTGTACTGTAAACTCTTTAAAGATACACCACTGTTTCATTGCCAACTGCCTAAGTGTCTTTGATCCTTATTTTCTATGGACTGATTTGTTCTCAATGCACTGACTTAATTGTTCACCAATGACGTATTTTTGCCCTTGATGGCATATTACACTATCTTGAACAGCATCTTAGGTCCGATTCATTTTAAACTGCATTTGGAAAAGCAGAACAGCAATGGAAACTGCTCCAGGAGGATATTACTCACAGTTCTGTTCAGGTACAACCTAACCAGTCTGTTAGGTTCCACCTCCCTCAAAGTTGGTCCCAATGTCCCAGGAATCTAAAACTCTCTTTTCAGCATCATCTCCTCAACCCCAATTTCATCTGCTGTATGTTCCTGTTTCAACACTCACTAATGTGTGGTACTGGAGTAAATGGAGATTATTATCCTCAAAGTAAGGCATGCTAGCTGTCTTCCACACTCCCTAAGATCTGCTTGTAGGGTCTCACCTCGCTTTCTGCTTGTGTGTTTCTTCTTATTTATGAGGCTCACCATCCATTTTGGAGACAGGAATAACAAAAAAAAAGCTAAATTGATATTACTGAAAACTGATTTTAAGAATCTGTTTACTATTCCATTGAAATGTTTTAAGGGTTAATTTACAGTTCCTGTGCTCTCTGTTGGAAGATGCGATCAAACGGAATGTGGGGCAGTGAATCAATTCTACCTTATTTCGACCTATGTCCCTTAGCATAGAAATTGTGCATTGAGTGTTCTTTCTCTGTAAGTTAAAATTGTACGATTCCATAATTCTACCAAACATTCTCCGTGTGTCAGATCTAGTTTTCCAATTGTTTGTACGACAGACCTATCCAATCTGTAAACCTAACTTGAATACCTACGTATTTTGGTTGGGAAAGCGAGTCTGGATAAAAATAAATTTTATAATCCACTCCAACAGGTCCTTCTTAAACTTTTATCCCCTGCAGAAATGGTTTAAATTCAGCATTAATCTGTGCATTCTCAATAATTTAACTGCTGCAATTCTATAATGAGTCCTGAGAAGAGATTTATACATTGTTTTATACCATAAAGCAATGGAGATTGCTTCTTAGATACTTTGATGGGTTTGAAGAGACCAGTGTGCCAAAAGAAGGGGAATATGTGATTAAGCATAGATTGCAAATGTTGAGACTATTCATCAGAAACCTTAAATGCTCTGGCAGAAAAAAAAGTTGTAATGTGAAGAGTTTGCCTGAATGGCAAGCAGAGGTACTCACTAAAAGTGAAAGAATTTCTGCTCACTCTCCTTCTGATAATTAACTTTGTAGTTCATAGCAATCTATTTCATAAACAATCAGACTTTAAAAACTCTTCAACGCTCTGACACCACAGCTGTTTCGTAGGGATGAATATTACCATAAGTTGTGGTGTGAACAAATGTATGGAATTCGGGCTTTGTAAAATTATTAATCAGTAGATTATTTGACAGTAAGTATCATTCTCAAAAGAGATCCCTCAAAATTTAGGATTACAAATCTATATGCTCTTTCTGTAATAAGCATTGGAGGCAAATTTAGTATTCAGAGCAATTACTATCCAATACAAGAGACAAATACAATAAGAATCATCTACTAAAGTATGACAATGTTAAGTGTCACCATTGATGCTGTGATCAAAGTGAATCACTTAATATTTGACAAACTTGTGTGAGTTTTTTGAGTATTTAACTTGTCGCATTGACAAAGGATAATTAGAGCATGTGGTGTATTTGAATTTTCAGAGGGTTTTGATAAGGTTGCACACAGGAAATAGTAAATAAAATTAGAATGCATGGGGTTGAGGGGAATATGCAAGTATAGATTGACAACTGGTTAACAGAAAGCAGAGAACAGGGAGAGGTAGATCATTCTCAGGATGACAAGCCATTACTGGTGTAGTACCACAAGGATCAGTCTAGTTCACAGCTTTTCACAAGCAATATAAATGATTTGGATGTGGAGAGTAGTTATAATGCACCCAATTTTCTGATGCCCCCAAACTAGGTTGGAACATAAGTTGTGAGGAGGATGCAAGGAAGTTTCAAGAGAACTTGGGGAGGCTAAGTGAATATTATGTGAATAAGTTTATAGTTATTCACTTTGGTAGAAAAACGGAAAGGCAAAATATTTCTTCAATGTTGAGAGGTAAGGAAATTTGGATGCCCAAAAGGATCTTAACATCCTTGTTCTTGAGTCACTAAAAACAAGCATGCAAGTGCAGCAAGTAATTAGGAAGGCAAACAAAAGGTGTCCATTTTGAGGAGATTTGAGTACAGCAGTGGAAGGTATCTTGATACAGTTGTATAGGATCTGGGTGAGATATTACCTGGAGTAATACGGAGAGTTTTGGAATCCTTACTTAAGGAAGGACATACTTGCCATAGAGTGATTGCAATCGAGGTATACCAGATTAATCGCTTGGATGATGGGATTTTTTTGAGGAGAGATTAAGAAAATTGGATCTGTATTTTCTACAGTTTCAAAGAATGATGATGTCATTGAAACTTAACAAATTCTTGCAGGGCATGATAGGGTGGACATAGATAGGTCATTTCTCCAGCTGGGACTCTAGAACCAAGGGACATAAGCTCAGAACAAGGGCAGGCCATTTAGCACTCAGGTGAGGGAGAATTTCTTCACTCAAAGTGTGTTGAGCTTGGAATGCCCTTTCCGAGAGGGCTGTGGAAGCTTGATCATGGAGCAGGTTCAAGGCAGAAACTTGGAGACTAATGACAGTAACAGATAGAGAGATAATGTAGTAAAATAGCCTTAAGTAGATGATCAGCCATCAGCTAGAAAGGTGGGGCAGTCTTAATGGGCTGAATGGTGTACTAATTTTTCAATGTTCATATCACTGATGATAACAAAGTATTCAGTAGCAGTCAACCATGTTCAATTTCATAGTTGCTACTCCAAGTCAACAACAATTTCCACACGGTGTGCTGTCTTGCCCCTGCTGCCATCAGCCTCTTTGCTGCAGGGGCTTTTCAGAAATTCATGCTGTGTTAGCTATTTGCAGCCTTTGGAAGTACACTTTATTTATACATTGTGAAAGAATGATAGACAATTGGAGTTGGGATGTTATGTTGAAGTTATACAGGACATTGGTAAGGCCTCTTCTGGAATACTGTGTCCAGTCCTGGTCACCCAGTTACTGGACTGATATTATTAAACTGGGGACGGTTCAGAAGAGATTTACCAGTATGTTCTCATGTATGGGAGGTTTGAGTTATAAAGAGAGGCTGCATCAGCTGAGACATTTTTTTCACTGGAGGGTTGGAGATTGAGAGGCAATCTTATAGAAGTTTATAAAATAATGACGGGTATAGATAGGGTTAATGGTAGTTGTCTTTTAGGATAGGGGATTTCAAGACTAGCAGGCACATTTTTAAGGTGAGAGGAGAGAGATTTAAAAAAGACATGAGGGACAAATTTGTTACACCGAGTGTGGTTCACATGTGGAATGACCTTCCTGAGGAAGTGGTGGATGTGGGTACAATTACAACGTTTAAAAGACATGAATAGGAAAGGTTTGGAGGGATATGGACCAGGAGCAGGCAGGTGGGACTAATTTAGTTTGGGATTTTGTTTGGCATGGATCAGTTGGACTGAAGGGTCTGTTTCTGTGCTGTATGACTCTAAGGTATGAAGGTGAATTAATTTGATTCTGCCTTGCATACTAGTTGTGTACAAGCTTAATGCATTTGCTTCATGTGTTTGAATATCTGTTATAGTTCTGAATATGCCCTTAGTGCTCCCTTAGCTGAAGGTTGGCACTGGTGGGCATTTATGAGGTGCCTATCAAAGATGCAATTCAACTTGAATCTGTGACTAACCTTCACAAACCAGTAACAATGCCAGGTATCTCTTTTGGTTACAGTTGCTATTCTTTCATTGTTTTTGGAATATTATCTATACAGGGCAAAATGATCACACAAAAGGCTGCTAACACTGTGCCAACAGGTTTCTTCTATGGGTATTTCACACCCAGGGTCTAGGAAGAAGTGGATGGAGCTGAACTAAGGATCTTTAAAGGGCACTTTGTTGAATGTAAGCGTTAATTGTTGGGAATGCAGCTGAAATGTTAAGCACAACAGGAGTTACTGTGTTCATAAGCAATACGTGTTTGAATAAATAATATCTAAAGCTGCTTAACACAGTGACGAGGACAAAACCTGAATCCCGCAATACCTGATTGTGCTAGGTCCAGTCATCCTGCCAACAGCACACTCAGCAGTTATTGCAAGCTTGAAAATAATAAATCAGTCTTTTTATACAGGATTGACACAAAATCTGCCTTCATGCAATCTTAACGACTTACAAGTTGTGGTAGTTGCTGAATACCTCTCCAATTAGACATGGCAACCTACATAGGTTATCTGACGTGCTTCAAAGGGTCACTTGAGTAAGAAAGCAGACGACAGTCAGTGTCTGTGGAAGTATTCCCCACAAAGAGCCGTTGGTTCACAAAGAAGAAAGTTAAGGAAGAACAATCACAAGGAGAAAATCTGTCAATAATACGAATTTTAAAATACTTTTACATTACAGTTACACACCTGAAAACATTAACATGGCAGCTAAAGTATAGCTACTCTTAACATTTCAAGTACCTTCAATTCTGTAATATGGAATTTGTTTTACTGATAGAGATTTTGAGCTCAAGACAATTTTCTAGGCTAGCCATTGCAGGGAGACAGGGATCCTGGGATCTACTGGCCGCCTAAAGGTTAATTTGAAAACTCATCCATACAAGTGGAGTATAATTGAAGATTACAATGAAGACAGAGCCTGTAGCTGTCACACAATAAAAGGTTAGAAGATGATAAACGGATGATAGCAAACTCCCTGTATTACTGCTGACAGTCATTAATATACACTGAAGAGTGAGTTTCATGGTACAGTACCTCCAGTAACACATTCCAGGGTAAAAGAGATATCATCAATTGCAATATCTGTGAGGTCATCGCCACCCACTTCAGCTTCAAACAGGATTTTAAACGGATAGTTGTTGGAAACAATGACATTGGCATAAATCCAGTTGTCCTCCCCGTTCCCAGTCACTGACCACATCAACAAGGGCATTCCATGCTCTCCGACACTGTATATCTAGAAGAAAAAAAGTATTTCATAATCATTACCACATTGACAGAGAACAGAATGGATTTTCGCATTTTTCATTTTTGGGTCACCGCTTTAAGCACAGTTTATCTTACTTCTGAGCTGCTTACCTCATGAGGCATGCTAGACACATTTTGTGGGAATTTTCAACCAGGAAGTTGTGAATTTGAACATTTACTCGTTTTGATTTTGTATCAAGCCAACAATTATGAATGGGAAAAAACACAAAAAATAATTGAATTGCTTTGTTGTTTTGCTTATTTCAGGGCAAGTCCAAAATTTAAAATAGATATTGTCGGCCTCACATTACAAACATTCATTTCAGTTTGAGTTTCACTTGACAGTAACACAGATGAGAGAACTCAGGAACAGTGTACTCAATTTGTAGAAACTGAATATTTTGGTTTTGAAAATCAATATAAAATGGGAATAGATTACATTATCATGAAAGAGAAGTGACCTGTAAATTATAACAAATAAATTCTAAAATAAAGAATACTTCTAAATGTACATGTATTTAAATAAAATTTATCATTATGAATTTGAGACAGAGGAAAATCTTTCCAAAGCCCTTCCATGCAGCCAGCACATCTCAAAAATTGAAGTTGATGCCTGGATCATTTTGCTATAAGTTAGTGGCAGGCAGGGACTTAGAAATCCACCCAAATTCCTATCTCAAACATTATTTAAACACTTTGGGGCACAATTTGTTACTGTCTGTAGCCAAAAGCAGCACAATCACTAAACGTGAAGCTGTTTTCCCATTGATGATGACAAAGTTTAAATGTTGTAACCTCGAAATTTGATTACAACCATGAATGGATAAGCAAAAGACCAGGTATACTGTAAATGAGCTTGTTCACCAGATGCAGAGACCAATGTAAAATTGGTTTTGGAGCTCATTACAATGGGTCGGGCAAGTTACGAACTTTACTTATGCTCCCTAATGGTGGTGTGCCTGTTTTAATGGAGAGGTGGGAAATCAAGCATGTCTGACATATTTCAAAGACAGCCCACATCTCTGCAAAGGGAGGGATTATAGACACGAGAAAATAATTGCAGATGGAAATGGCTTCAAAATGTATTTGTCAAGTTGTTATGTTCTCTGTTGGCAGATCTGAGATGAAACTCTAAGCTGAGTAGAGGTGGAGAACGCTCCTATTCCTCTTTGGAGCAGAAAGCAAGTAATCCAAGCAGCTGCTCTGTCAGCTCTGACAGCTCAGGAGATCGATTGAAGATTCTACTGAAAAGTTATTAACTCGAAACATTCACTTTGTTTCACCCTCCACAGATGCTGATTGACCTGCTGAGTAGTTGAGTTTTTGTTTATTTCAGATTTCTGGCATCGTTGGCGTTTTGTTTAGTATTACCTTTGAATTAATTGCCACATTTATTTCAGGAATTGCTACCTTGAAGTAGTTTTGTTCTTCTCTCCAATGGTATTTCCATTTGTCTCTTTGATCTTGTTCACCTTCATTGCTGCTAATTTTCTTTTCAAGTTTGATCAGGTGTTTGCTAAATCAGGTTTTCACGGTCACATCTCTTTTCTTGTCACTGTCTCCATGTGTAATTCAAACTGGAATTCCACACCCGGGTGGAACTTGATATCCTCCTCATGGTGAGTTTTGTAACGTGATGGTATTTAATCAGGCAGAAGGGTGGCAGGTGATGACCCCAATATCCTCCTGTTTTTGCTTTGCCTGAGTGTGGTGGGAAGGCTTGCATTTGCCTGGGTTCCCCAGCAATTCTGGGCCTCAAGAGAGTGTAGTACCAGCAACAGCCATCGCCTCACCAGTGGCATTGCTGAGCAATGAAGAGTGCTGCCACTGATTGGCTGGCAGCTCTCGGCAGCGTCGGGAGTGGGGTCAGGGGATTGTGGTCTTTTATCCTCCTCAGGGTCCTTGATACTGGGAAAGCCCACTGCTGCCCAGCTAAACATCTGCCTGGCATTTAATTTAATCTGAAAAGAAGTGACACTAACTCTCCAGCTGACAGGAGCCATTCCTGTTGTGGATTCACCATCCATATTTCTAGACTTTCAGCATTCTTTGTTCTTACTATATCCTGAGGTCCATGTGCAGTCTTAACCTCTTTCTTCAGCAGCATTGCTGACACTACATCAATTGCGCTTTTCACAAGACTAAAAGAACAGAAGACACAGGGATAGGAGCTAATCACAAGGTCAAGCCTGCTCCACCATTCAATATGATTACGTTGATTGTGGGGTTCAAATCCATAGTCCTGCTGTCGAGACCTATCCCTTGGGTCCCTGTTCTGTCCACTAATTATTTACTGGAGGCAAAACATCAGGAACTTTGTCCTGCGGATTCTCAGTTATTGGGAGCTGGCTAGCGTAGCCTCAGATAAAGGTGATTACATATGACAGAAACAGGAGGGTTACAGTTAACAGTGGGTGAAAACTTATTTGCTTATCAGGAATAACTGGTAATCAGATCACTGTGTTGAAACAACAAATATGAATTCACCAGGCCATTCTACCAACTGGCATTTTAGGACTTTAATACTTGTTGGATTTACATTTAGGATTAGTCAACAATTGTACTTCTTTAAATGCTTCTCCTACCTTCAGAGTTCCCATTTCTTTTGAACCATAAATATAGTACCAGAAACGCAAGCGACAGACTCCAACAGTTGCTGGGAATGGGTGGGTGGTGGCTATTCTTGCAATGTCACCTTCATGCTGAGTTGCTGAATTAATGTACAGAAACATTCCTCCAACCCCTTCAAAAGAAACAAACTGCACTATGTATTGAATTTCTCGGTATCAGTAGATCTGGCAAGTCACAGAAAGCACAAATTTATGTTGTTATGTTTACTCACATGCAAATATTACATAACTTGCCTTCATGTTCACATGAACAGTAAAAAAGATATCACGCATATCACCCCCATAAAAACATTAATCTATACCTGGCATTGTGAGCTTGGGAACTCACTGAAAAGAATAATTATCTACTTCACCAGGAAAGGCAGGATTTGACATATGAATTCCCACCTTAATGAGAATTGTACAGATTAATGAATTTTCCCTGTCTTGTGGAACATAAAGCAGGCGTGTTTAGAGTTTCGAAGTAAAGTAAGCCACTTTGTTTTCTTTGCAGAATTTTGGAGTAATTTCATGTACACACTTTGAAACAAAATTCTTTTGTGCTTAAATTGTTTTGTCTGATATCTTGTTTTCTCCTAGTTACTCTGTTCCAAATATAACTCAGGGCATCTGTTGGCTATCACCTTTCTCTTTAACCTGTGCCCACAGCAGATCTGTAGCTTTCTGTGTCTCCAAAACTACACTTGAAGCTTGATGATTGTGGTATTTTGACTATAACAGTATCTCAGAGCTGCTCCTCCTTTTCTTGTTTTAAAAGGAAATGCTGTAAAACTGTAGGGTTATTTAAGTTGACATTGGATGGTTAGATGATCTTGCTAAAAGACAATTATTTAATGGAATTACAAACAGAAACTGCAGGAGAAACTCATCAGGTCTAGCAACATCAGTGGAGAGAAAACAGAGTTAACCTTTTCAGTCCAGTGACCCTTCTTCAGGGCAGATAGCATCTGGGAAGAAATGGTTTTTATCTTGATGACAGGGTGTGGTGGAAGAGGGTGGCTGGAGAGGAGATGAATGAAAAGGAGTGTAATAGTAAGCCAGAGAAGAATAAAAGCTAGGTAGATGATAAATGGGCCTATGAGAGGTGAAAATGGGGGTTGATTGTGCTGAAAACAACCCATGCCATGACAGAACCTGGGGTATGGGGGTGGGTAAAGGAAATGGAAGGAGGTGCTCAGGCCCTAAAGTTACTGAAATTGATATTGAGTGCAGAAGGCTGCAGGGTCCCCAAGCGGAAAATGAGATGCTGCTCATCCAGACAAAATCCAAAAGGACTGTAGATGCTGTAAATCCAGAACAAAAACAG